TGGTGGAGGGTTGTGATTGGTTGGGAAGAGAATGTTGGTGGAGAAGTTGTTATATTTTGGGACAAATCCGAAGGGCTAAGAGTTGTTATATTTTGGGACAGAGGGAGTGTCACGCTCAGAAATTCCCGAATAGAATTCCAAGCAGAATGTGCATTAAAATCCCCATCCAGGACAGGCCGGGGTACACAAACGACAAAGTTGATATACAGATCCACGTCTTACAAACATTATAAAAGTCTTACATAAATGCAGCGGAAAAACAAAAGATAACTGGAGCTAAGCCTTGACTTGATCTGCAGCGGGAACACCACTCCACAGGCATCCTCGACGGCACGGACGAAGCCTACTCCTCGGAGAAATCACCATATGACGCATACTCAAATTCTGGGGTTTGGGGAAAATAGAGCAAGACTGAGTACTAACCACTATACTCAGCAAGTCATACCGGAAAAGGGGTATGATGCAGGGAATTATCAAGGGATAGCTATAACGGTTCATTTGCATAAAACGGGCATTTATAAACAGAAATTCAGAGAAGTAAAACAGTTGTAACAATTAATCAATATTAATCATCCACTGTCCAACGCTATACCACGTTGCAACAGGCCCAACCATCCACCTATACTATCCAATTTCATTAGACTAAACTAGGGTGAGACTAATCACGGTGAATCTGGTTGACCGCCCATAACCGCGGGCACGGCTATTCGAATAGTTTTACTCTGATCAGAGGTGTACAACTGTACCCACAAGACACAGCCCCACGACACGTTTCCGTGCGCCGGCATGCCACCACGACATACCGGAAAGAGGCCGTGACAGGACCCGTCGCATAACCCCCTCTAACCAAGCACACCACACCTAAGGTTTCACCCCCCACTCCTCGCAAGGCAGCGGACAGTCCTCTCTCGTACCTAGGTGAATCCGGAAGCCGCATAGGCCGTCGCAGGGCCCATCCAAACTCCATCACGCCCACCCTTGCCTGGATGCGTCAGCTAGAGGAAAGCTACACTACAAGCCCAGCCGTTGCCCACGCTGGCTTGTGGTAAGTACGATAAGTTCTTCCAGGGCATCCCGCGAACCGGTCCTTAACTGCCATGGGCGCGACCAACAAAACCATGCACCCACAGCCCACCATGTGATTTATTTTAATTAACCAACACCGAAGCGGTGGCACCAATCCAACATTACCATTAGAACCTACAGTCCATACATTAATAGGATTTTCCCCATTGTGTGCTAGTTGAACTAAGCATGGCTAAGCAATCCCTAGTCCAATGTCTAGTCATGTTATAACCCAAGCTAACAAAGGAGCATGGTACCAAAATAGCATGGCTGTAACAGTAGGTAAACATCCCATAGTATTATTGTAAAACAATGCAGTATTTGAAGAAAAACATTAGAACATTTGCAATATAGGATCAACATGTTCAAGTAACAGCCATGACTTGCCTTGCTCTACTGCTGGAGGAACCTCGGCGACTATCTCGAAGTACACCGGAGCGTCGGAAGAGCCGGAATCTAAGCGACATACAAAGCAAACAATACAAACAGGCTATAAGACTACTGAAACAGAGAACAAAACCATTTTTAATGGATTCTACACATTTTTCTTGATTTACTGAGACTTGAATGGGCTTAAACGGAGCTCGGATGAATTAGTTATGAATTTTAGAAGATTCACTGTGTTTTTACTATAAACAGAAAAATCCTTAATTGAATTATTGCGCAATAAATGCCCAGGGCTGACGTCATCAAAGGGAGCGGGCAGCGCCGACATGCGGGGCCCGCATGTCAGCGGCGCAAGGGGAGAGGGAGGGGGCGCTGGCACGTGGGCCCCATGGATCAGCGGCACAAAGCGGCCGGTCCACCGTGGACCGGGACGACGCGGGTGGTCCACCGCCGGTCCACGGGACCGACGGTCCGGATTGGCCTCGGGCCGATCGGACGGTGCAGGGAGCAACCGCCGGGCTCGGCTCGGCTTCAAAGCCGGCCGGCCGGCCATGGCTAGAGGCGGCGGCGCGCACGACCACCGGCGGCGACCGGCGGCGGCGCACAGCCGAAGCAGCGGCGCGGCCTAAAGCGACGGCGCGTGCGGGAAGGGGAAGGAAAGGAAGGGTGAGGGAGTCCTCACCGGAGGGGGCGGCGACGACCGGCGGCGGAAAACGAGGGAGGCGGCGAAGACCGGCGATGCCGAGGTGCGGACGAGCGACGGCGACACCTAGGGGAGGAGAGGAGAGGAATTAGGGCGGAGGAAAAACCCCACGGCGGCCATCCATGCCGGCCGGAGTCGGAGGGGAGAGGGAACTCACCGGCGACGCAAGGGAAATGGGGTCTCGGTGGGATTCCGGCGACGCAAGGTGGCGGCCGAGAAAGATCTTGCGGCGGCGAAGCTAGTGGTGGCGGCGGCTTAGCGCGGCGGCGGCACGCGGCCGGAGTGCGGTGGCAAGCGGCGGCGCGGGCGGCGAGCGGCGCGAGCTCGGTAGGAAGCACGGGAGGGAGCGGCGAGAGCGGAAAGGGGAAGAGGAGGCTCGGGGAAGCGATTTTATAGGCTCGAGAGAGGAGAACGTGGCCGGGAAGGCCTCCGATTCCGCCAGTGACGTGGGGAGGAGAGAGAGAGAGAATGGGGGGAATTCAAAATGCGAATCCCGCCCCTTGCGAGCGCGCGCGCGGCCCGGGAGACTCGGGGGGGGGGGGGGAAGAGGGCGGCGACGTGGGGAGGACGCGGGGCGGCGCGGCGTGGGCGCGGGAGAAGCGGAGGAGGTGGGCGCGGCGGTTTCGGCGGCGGTTGCCGACGTGGGGCGGGCGGCCGGAGGAAGGGGACGACCCTGACAGGTGGGGCCCACCTGTCGGCGTCCCGGAGAGAGAGGGAGGGGCGGCTTGGGCCGACCCACAAGGAGGAAAAGGGCGCGCGCGGCGGCGGGCGGACTGGGCCGACGGCCCAAGAAGAGGAAAAAGGAGGGAAAAGAAAAAGAAAAGGAAGAAAGGATTTTTCCTGGGATTTAAAATTGCATGTGCTCGATTTTAATTGGTTAAAATTATTTCTAGGGCTCTGAAAATTTCACTAAAAATCTTGTTAGCAAATTTCGACATGTAGAACTCAAGAAAAATTCCACATGCCAATTCCGATTATTATTTGCATTGATCTATTAGGGTTTACTCTCGCTTTTACACCGATATTTTCTTGGGACCATTTATAAATTCAATTTAGGCTTGGGGGGAGAACTTCAGGGTGTGACAGGGAGTAACATATATTCATATATATAATCAAAGTGCGGGATATCATATTTCATCTACAATCTCGTATAACGTCTACTAAATTTATTTATCTCCAAACATAGTTTGAAAAATCAATTTTATTTGTTGTTAATAACTATTATAATTTTTACTCTTAGCTTGAGTATTAAAAATATATTAAAAGTTACTAATCCCCCCGTATTTTAATATATGACGCCATTGACTTTTTGATGAACGTTTGACTATTCGTCTTATTCAAGAAAATTTATGTAATTATCATTTATTTTATTGTGACCTGATTTATCCTTAAATTTTCTTTAAGCATGACATAAATATTTTTATATTTGTACAAAATTTTTGAATAAGACGAATGATTAAACGCGGGTCAAAAAGTCAATGGTGTCGTACATTTTAAAATATAGAGCGAGTACAATAAGGTAACATAAGCATGCTATAGAAGTTGACACATCAGATTTGTGCTTGTGTGGAGGAGAGATAACAAAAGCGGGCTAGTATAGATTCGTAGCCAGCTGCAGCACGAGTTCCAATAAACTACTCCTATGTGAGAGAGATGGGTAGGTTAGGGCAACACCAATGTATATAGCTAAAGTAGTCCATATAGATGGGACCTATATTTGTGGACTTTAACTATTGCAACATTCACAATGTATATAGTTAGTAAGTAGTAGGAGGAGGAGAGAGGAAATAGAGACAAATGACATATTTTATTCTATATGGGCAGCCCATATGCTTATGGATGACTTTTGCTATTTCTCTCCTATGGACTACTTCCTCAATGTGGTTAGGTAGCTGAATGTATTATTTTATTGACTATGGACTGGTTTTAAAGTACATTGTGGATGCCCTTATGCATTAATGACGTACTCCCAATATTTCTACAGCTAACTATTATATAAGCGAGCTATTAGATTGATTATATATATGATGTTTTAAATTTTAGAGCTAGTATAGTGGACTATATTATTAAACTTGCTCTTAGGGGCTGTTTAGATGGGGCTAAAATTTTTTAATCCCTATCACATCGGATGTTTGGACATTAATTAAATGTATTAAACATAGATTAATAACAAAACCTATTCCATACCCTGGTCTAATTCGCGAGACGAATCTATTGAGCCTAATTAATCCATGATTGGTTTATGTGATGCTACAGTAAATATGTACTAATTATGGATTAATTAGGCTTAAAAAATTATCTCATGAATTAGCTCTCTTTTATATAATTAGTTTTTATATAAGTAGTCGATGTTTAATACTTTATATCAAATATCTGATATGTCGAGGACCAGCGATGGATCCAAACTCCCTCTACTAGACGTGATGTCACTCACAGCTTAAAAAAGATGAGTGTTGAGCGAGTGGTCCTGCGGCCACCGAGCCAGTGAGCCACCGACAGCCATGCGGCCGCTCTGTAGCAAGCAAGCTTACTTCACTTAAATTTACTAGCTTACCCCTAGGTCAACCTGTTTTATTCCATGTGTGAGCTGGGGCCTTTTCGGTAGTACAGTATGTGTATTTCCCCTTTATACTGATGAGATGGGACTTTTAATATTCGCACGGTACAACTTTTAATATTCCCTTTCTTTTTTCCAATGCTAGATCTGGACACGCACCCGGTGTTGCAAGTAATATAATAATAAATAAATAAATTGAAAGGAAAAGAAAACGAAAAAAAAAACGCGTGACGCACCGGACCGGCGGTTCCTATTCCTATTCCAACGCCTCGCATGCGGTTTCTCTCTCTATACGTGAGAAAGCCTCGTCTACCCCTCTCCCTGTAATTAGTTACTTCTATAGTTGGCACCCATCCTTATCTCTTATCTCCAAAATCGATTCCCCAACCCTAACCTCCCGTTCTCAACGACGGCGCCGCCGCACAGATCTGGCACTATCCGGCGAGGCTTGAGCTGCCTGGGGCCGGGCTCCGTCGCCTCCTTTGTCGGCGCACGGACGAAGGAAGCCGAGGCTTTAGTCTAGCGTCGTCCCTTTTCTGTCAGGAAAGGCGAAGGTTATGGTTCGCCGCCGAACTTCGTCGGCTGAAATCATGGCGCCGCCGTGGCTGATGCCACCTGTGTTCAGCCGGAAGGGGTCCGGCACATCGCGAGCGTCGCTATATAGGGGGCAAATAGCTCCGATGCCGGCGAGGTTATCCTCCGGCGATGAGGTCTTTGCGGGTTTTCTCATCAGAACGAGGTTAGCCACTTAGCCAATATACTTGTTTCTACCGGTAGCTTTTCAGATCTGACAGGATCTGACATACCGCTGTTTCTATTTCGTCATATCGCTCTTTCACGTAAGCTGTCATCGCATCGTGGCGGAGTTTGGGTTTCTCTGAGACATGACGGGGAGCACGAGCTTGAGGACCGCGGCGTCGTGGCGGTGTTTGGGTTTCTCTGAGACAGGACGAGGAGCACGAGCTTGAGCTAGGTCCTTCTTTTGATCTCTGGATGACCGAGAGATGCGAGATGCCACCGACCTGATTATTTGGTGGTTGATCCGTCACTTGAATTTGCATGGTGAGGATTCAGACGCTGGTGATACAATTATCTATGAAATTTTTGTCAGGTGCTACCTGATCTGGTAGCAGTGTACGAGTTTATACGGAAAGAATGAATTCGTTTGTAGGCTTCGATTTGTCCAGTCTGTATTTTCTTTGTGTTGCCATTGATTTGCCCACTTTGTATTTTCTTTGTGTTGCCCAGATCGTCCACAAGCATTCGGAGCACATGGGGAAATATATATGATTATGCTACTGGTTTTTCTCCTATTGCCTCTTCTACTCGGATCTTCTTCTACTAGAACGATTAGAATCACTACAGCGTTCCGAGCACATGGTGAAAATGATTTTGCTACTGGTTATTTGCCTGTTGTGGTCTTGCTTCTTCTACTTGGTTTAATAAATCAATTATGATATATCGCTTGAAGGTGAATAGTCTATAGGGGAGTGTGAAGTAAACGAGATGAGTGCTATACCCAGTTACCCACTGGAGTGGAGAGACATATCGCCTCTGCAAGCCTTGGACAAAGTTATTCATTCAATACATGTTCTTAACCCAATCTTTCCTGTTGCCATTTCAAGTACCCATTTCCAATCACAGGTACGTATTTGCAGCTCATCATCTCTGTATCGTTTGCCTCGACTATCTGTATTGCGTTAATGGTTGGACTTGGACACGCTATGCCATGAAAACTTCGAAAGTTGTAGCCCATCAATATCCTTAGTGTACTCACCACCGCAATAGGCGCCATTTATATTAAAAAAAAATCCAGGTGATACAACATCTGGTCAGTTTCTGGTTTTTGTTAGATAATTTGGGTTTTTCTGATTTTGTAAGCTCAAAGATTAGGCATTGTACCGGTTTGGGCAACGAAAACCTCTACTAGGATAGGAGGTCTACTTTGGGACCCTGTCAAAAGCATGCAAATTGTTTTCTTATGCTAGCAGTGCCAGCCTTTTAAACTTGCTGGATAGACTAAGTGATCTCAGTCTTTGATAAAAATCGAATCATGCAAAGAAAACAGACCATTACTAATCGTAGAAAAGGATAGCAATGCTATAATGGTGGGCAAGGGAACCAAACAAAACAGACTGTCATGATTCCCATCTAAATCCCCAAAATCATAGGAGGTTATATAATAGAAGTAAGAGGTACATATATAATAGAAGTTCACATATACTCTCAAACAAGGTAACGTTTCAGGTCCAGTTATCTTTCAGATACCCTTGCATTTTTCCATCTGTCATAAAAATATATATCAGTAAACACTAATACCATCAGTAAGTACTAGACAATTATTTAAAGAACTTGTCATTTATGTGATAGCCTTTTGAAGATATAAATGAATGGATTAACTACTATAAAGTTCAAAAGTTACTTTATTAAATTATATAACAAAATTTTAGATCACACATATATTCTTTTTGCACGAAACACACTGTTTAGGAGCTTGGGTAGTGTGCAAACAAAAATCCAAAACACAGAATCAGAAAAGAACAATACCTTATCATCAGAACTTCTCTTTACGTAGACCACCTTAGTTAAACTTGTTGCCCTTGTTGCGGATCTGTTCAAACAAAAAAAATCAGAATAATATTAAGCAAGTATGTTGTCTCAAAATCACAACGGAACCTTAAGATGCACAGATACTAAAGTTTATTGCCCACATCAATGGATATTTTGACCTATGGTGTCATTGCAGATAGTTTATTGCTATTCTCTGTTTCTTCTTTGCAAATTATATTTAATCCACATGAATGCATCGTTCTCATTGCTGCATGGTGTAAAACCACACCTAGGGATACAAGCATTCCTTTTAGTAAGGAAACCATTATGTGTGTGTTTTAAATTCTCCTTTTTTGAAATTGCTCAATATGAGAATGACTTTGTAGCTAATGCAACATTCTTCTGGTAGGTATGTTGATGCTTTGCACGAATTCAACTAATTGAATAAATACATGTCTATTTCTGCTTCAGGAATAACAATACAGATGAAGAGGGAGAAGAAAAACAAGCTGTGAAGGCTGCATAACAACAGGTATATATTGAAGCCTTAATTCGTGTGTAAAAGAAGGAACATAAAATATGTATAACACTTTTCCCTAACCTAACTGTTTTATACTTGAGTAGTAGAGACTTAACCATTTCATGCGCAAATCACCCACTCAGATATATTGTTGGAAGTCTTTTTGCTGTACCACTACTCCCGCCGGTTCCATATTAATTGATGTTTTGGACAAGGTTGAGGTCAAACTTTTATAACTTTGACCATCAATAACTTTAAAAATATTTAGTTTAAAGGAACTAGAACAACATATAGATTTGTCTTTTAAAGTACTATAATAAAAGTAAACATGCATTTATTTATTATATGTATTATAATAGAAGAATAAGGTCAAAGATATATCTTGTAGACCGTGTCATTGTCCAAAACGTCAATTACAATGAAACCGGAGGGAGTACATTTTATCTATTGAAACATGTTGCAGTTTATGTATTATTTAGTAATTTAGTGTACAATGAGTATCCTTGCAAATTACCACAATGAACTACCATGAAAGAAAGCGCCCCTTACAATTTTAGTTGTAATAAATATTCCAGTGTTGCCTTTTCTCTACCCAACCAGAACAAGATCTGTAAACTTCATTGACTAAACCTCAATTACACATTCCATGTAAACATATCCTTACGCAAATCAAATTCAAGTAAAGTGCAAAAGCACAAGGGATTTTATGAACCGAAAATCCCTTTAGTGTAATCGGTATATCACTATCTCACAAGTATCATCAAATCCCTGTCGTGTAACCAGTATATCACTACCATACATTTTCATTGTATATTCTATACACATTTCCGAAACATTTCTTCCAACACATATATCTAAAGTGCAAAGTACAAACATGCAGGCAGGTTGATTTGAAATGCAGATGAATCCTTCCAGTTCCATTCGATCCCAATCCAAACTCGGTGTACACAATAAATTCAGGATCCTAATTGCTTGAAAAAGTAATGCTTTTTGATTTTTGACATCACGGGTATTATAATGTTTATTTGACATCACGGGTAGTATAATGTTTATGTGACAGCTTCAAATCTTCAATGTTATAACTATTTACTTATTATTGCTGCATTCAAGCGAATATATAAAGAATCCAATCGACGGCCGATCTATGTTACAGTAATAGCCTCCATGATGCTTACAGCAAGTTAATAAAATGCATGAAAGGGGGTTGTAAATGCAGGTGGATGCCAGCATCCATAGTTCACAACGTTAGATCGCAAATTGTTTCATCGATCGATTGGACATCTTAATCGTCAGACGATTTGGAGGGGCAGTAAAGACCGTTTGGATAGGAGAGGGGATTTAGGGTGGGGGATGGTTTACCTGCTTCAGGACTGCTTTCTTAGCGGCCTTCTTGGCCTGGGCGAGCATGAATAGACGAGTGTTGGAGCACTTATGATTCACGAACTCGCGCCGGGTGTTGAACACCCCGTGGCATTTCGGGCACTCGATTGGCTTATGCTGCGGCGCGTCGCCTCCCGCCATTGCTCCGCTGCAAAACAAAAGCATAGTGTTCAGGGTTTCAGTCCTACGCTTCCGATTCAATCAGATATAAGGTGCTATGGAAACGCCCTGATCGCTGGAGATCAGATCTGACCTCAGACGGACGAGGATGGAGGACGGGGGGAGGACTGGAGTCTGGAGGAGGGCGGTGGCGGCGGCGGCGGCGTCGTCGAGCTCTGCTTCTCTGGGTGGCTTGTGTGTGTGTGGGGGAAAGGGTTTCTCGCCGATGACGTCCTGAACTGCGAGCTCTCGTCGGGCCATACGGGCTGGGCTGCGTGTACCCGGTCCGGACTGACTTGGATGGGACCTGACTCGCCATGTGGCCCATCAGAGGAGGGAATTCGCGCAGTTAGAGCCTGCCAGGCCAGGCTAGCTCATTCAACGTATTTCAAAGAGTTAAGTTCATCTCAGGTCCTTTTTAACTTCTCAACAAATCCGATTTGATTTTCGTTCTTTAACTGAAAAACCAAATACAATGGGTCCATCAACTATAAAAATCAGTTTAAAACAAAGTATACAGTTTGGACGTCGGTTTCAGCTGATGTGGCGTCTACGTGGCTAATTTGACTCGGTCATCATCTGACGTGGCATTGACATGACGCTTATGTGACAATTTGATTTGGAAATAATAGAAATCGTGGGCCCACATGTCAATTATACTAAAAAGAATAATTTAAAAATAGTGGGGCAATTTGATTTGGAAATAATAGAAATCGTAGGCCCACATGCCAATTATACTTAAAATGAATAATTTAAAAATGGTGGGGGCCCATGTGTGCCTCACATGTCATTCTCACTCTTCTCTTCCTCCTCTCTCTCTCTCATCTCCCCTCTTTTTATCTCTTTCCCCTCCTCTCTCTCTCTCTCCAGGCGCAACGACCGACGGGCGGCAGGGAGCGGGGACGTGGGGCGGCGGATGGAGGATATCCAGCTGGCACTGCCGGCGCTGGACGGCTGGAGGCCGCCGTGCGTCCGATCCGTGCGAATGTCATCCGAGCGCGCCCACGTACGGCGCTGGCGGCTAATTCATTCTACCGGCGGCAACGACGACACTAGCAGCTCGTGTTCCATCTCGATCGAAACTTGATGACAGAAATTCAGACACAAAACATGTTGATTACACGATGGTTGCAGCTTTGTAACACGAACTAGGTGAACGGATGCTGAATTCAGAATATCCGAAGAACATGACAAGATTTTCAGCATTGCCAACTCATGATATGGTATTAATCACCTGGAATAAACTCATTTTTCAGTACGTTCTATTCAGACGTTTTTATCCAACTATTCCTTCGAGTTCAAATTTCGCATCGGCCAAGAGCCCAAGACAACTCTGGATCTCTAATACTCAAACGCATTCATCGAGATTCGAGACAACTGAATAATAAGCTAATCACTGGTGGAGAAATGCTTTTTAGTCCCGGTTCGTAACCCCCCTTAGTCCCGGTTTTCCAACCGGGACTACGAATCTGGGACTAAAGATCGTTATCTTTAGTCCCGGTTCAAATAACCGGGACTAAAAATCAATCTTTAGTCCCGGTTGGTGTTTAAAGAGAGTACCAACCGGGACTAAAGAGAGGGTTGCGGCAGTGAGAGGATCCCTTTTTTCTTTTTTTTTCTTTTTTATTTTCTCCCAAATCAAGTGGGATACATATCCCAAATCAAACCCCCAATCCACAAATCGAAGTAACATCTCAAATCTATATCACAAATCAAAGTTACTTATACACACAAATAAATACATCACAAATCAAATACATCACAATATCCTAAGAAATTACTCAAATACATCACAGATCCAAACAATGAATCACAAATTTGTAACTTCTCAGTCAAATACATCTCAGTGAATCATCACAAATTAAAAAAAAAAAGAATGCCGCTGCCGCCCGCCGGTCGCCACGAACTACGGGCGCGGCCCCACTGGCCGCCGGCTGCCGGTCGCCGGGCGTAGCCCCGCCGCCCACCGCCCGCCGCCGCTGCGGCCGCCACGCCCACCGCCGCCGCGCGGCCCCGCCGCCCGCCGCCGTAGTGCGCGGCCCCGCCGTCGGCCGGCCTGCCGGATGGGAAGGGGAGGCCGGCCGGGAAGGGGAGGAGGAAGGGGAGAGAAGGGGGAGGAGAGGAGGAAGGGGAGGAGTTGGAGAGTTAGAGGATAGATATGAGGAGAGGGGGTGAGATTCGATCTGTTAAGTTGTAACTGTGGAGGAGAGGATAAGGGATATGGATTATATACTATGTGTTTAATTTTAGTCCCGGTTGGTACATCTTGATCTTTAGTCCCGGTTGGTAGTACCAACCGTGACTAAAGTGGTGATCTTTAGTCCCGATTATTTACACCAACCGGGACTAAAGATCCTCGGCCCCCTGACATACATCTGACAGGGGATGAACCATGTTACCAACCGGGACTAAAGATCAAAATTTTTATAACCAGGACTAAAAATAATCTTTACTCCCGGTTCTATTTGGATTCGGGACTATTGTGGATTTTGCCGGACCGACCAAAGATGGTTTATCCACCAGTGAATTCGATTGAGATTTGCATCCATGGTTTGCCATTTCATCAATATGAACGAGCTACCTGGACAGTAGCTGATGCGGTGAGCCGGCCTGCAGCGGCCATGGAAATCGTAGCGCCTGTGGAGGTATCAATGCTGCTGGCCGCCGGCGCTGTGGACACCGGCAGCCTGAACTCGCCACCGGCATCTGTTGGCAATTTTTTTGACAAGTTGACAAGTACGATCACAACACCTAAACGTCTTGCGGTGATATGGAGTCGCCAACCACCTCGATCTAGCCAAACAGCCAAATCAAGATGGGTTTTGTAGAAAAAATAGCTAAACCGGCTAGCGGAGCCGATTTAGAGATCAAAATCAGCCTCTAGGCCGATTTAGATCGATATGAGGATAACTACCAGTCTCATAGGCAAAACGGAAGGTTTTCAGGACAAACCTACAAAGAGGTGTCGCACTCTCGTAGCTGCAGCGGACGATTTACAGCGCAAATCGACAAAGATGGACTAAAACTAGGGTAAAGTAGAAAACATGGTAAAAGAACGATTCAAGTATATTGTATTCGGGGTATTACAATGAACCGGTCTTGTCCTTTAAATAGGGGTTGGTCTTGCCCTCTACAGGTCCTTCTCCACGTCCAACTCGAGATAGAAACTAAAGGAAACACAAAACATGCCTTCCTGAGCAAGGAAACCCGAGACCCGACGAAAACAAACTTGAACTCAGGCCCTAACAGTCTGACCGTCCACATACCTGCGGTCTGACCGGCCCTACTAGCCGGTCTGACCGCCCACATACCTGCGGTCTGACCGGTCCTGTGAAGAAAACCAGATACTTTTCAAACTTTGGCAATTTTCCCCTATTTCGTTCATAGATGCTAAATTTGGGTGTAAACTAACATCTTTGCCGGGAGGCTCGGCAGCGGCGCCACGAACCGCAGCACGCTGACGGCCTCAGGCTACGGTCAGGGTGCACCTGAGCCTGACGATATATAAAGTACGTATGAACACAATGTATACAGCAGCTGATCAATGCTAATTATTAGTTAAACGTATGCATGGGCACCTGTTGCCTCCCACCGAAAGACATATGCAGATCAATGTGAAAGACATACATGTCTCTTGCAGTTCACCTGTTGCCAGCGAGCAGCCAAAACGAACTTGCCGCGCTGAAGACGCCGTGGCTGGATTGATGGCGCTGAGTAACGGACAAATCCAAGGCGCCGGCGTTGACAGCGACGATGTGGTTTGCAGGGTGAAGCGTACGGATTACAGCCCCCGATCGAAGGCGAACAGGCGCATGCGACGACGGCGGTGATCCCTAACCCTAGTTAGGTCGAACAACTCTTGTTTCAATACTTCTCTTAACTTATTGGTGGCGTATTGATGGTCTGGCTGCACCTGGAAGGTGGACGCTGTTTCTACTAGTATCCAGATCTGGACACTGTTTGAAAGAGTGTCCATCTCTGGACGCTGTTAGAAACAACGTCCATTCTATTTTGGTTAATTCTCCCACAGAATTACTCTCTCCGTACTCGTAAAGGAAGTCGTTTTGGATAGCGACACGGTATCCAAAACGCAATTTTGACTTCTTGTTTCTATAAAAATATTTATTGTAAAATGATATATGCATACTTTTATGAAAGTATTTTTCAAGACAAATCTATTCATATAATTTTTACATTTTCAAACTCAACAATTTGAGATTCATGATTTATATTCCCAAGGTTTGACTTAAACTTTGTCCTAAATGACTTCCTTTATGAGTATGGATGGAGTACTAGTTATTTAATTTAAATATTATTAATTATTATTATAAATAAAAAATGGGAATTGCTAGACAACTGCCTGCTGAGAATTTTTGTTCTATCAGCTGAATTTGAGGGCGTTGGATTTGTTTCCAAGATTCGTGCTAGGAGTTTTAGGCCCACACATTCATCCGGGCGCTGGACCCGTCGCTCTCACTGGCTCGTTGCATGTCTTCACCGTGGACCCCATGCGAAACTCAGACTCGATTTTTTTTCCTCATTCACTCACGCAAGAAGAGCAGAGAGAGAGTGGGGATTGGATAACGCGGGGGTACTCACCGGCGGCGATGCCGCATCGTGGGTGTGATGCTATCGTCGTCTCCTCCGGCGGGTGGAGCTCTAGAGCTTGGTGTCGGCTCCAACGGACGCGCGCGCCGCCTGCGGTTGCGCTTATCTGCGAGGCAGGGATGGCGGTAGGGGAGGCAATCTCGACAGCTCCGATGGTCGTCAGCGTGTTTCTACAAAGCTTTTTGTCGGGAATGGCGATGGAGCCTCAACGCTTCCTGTGTCACTAGGAGAGCCGAATAGGACCAATCTGTTGGATCTCGGCATGGAATCCTGCAATGGCTCACCCAGCGAGCAACTCGAAGGCCACACAGCTCCACACGGTGAGCTTACCTTTAGCACGATGCTATATGATTTTTGTATTTGTTCCCTATTTTGAATATGTTGCATATTTTGTCTAGAAACAATTTATTGTAATTTTGGTAGTAGATGAACGGATGGAGCCATGGAGGAGTAGAAAGTTTTTATGATATGTGTGCCTTTTCAGATAGCTGGTTTTTTGGTGCCCTGATCTGGTTCAATATGTGAATAATATTTTGCATTTCTAAAAATTTTGTGGCCATGTAGATCCATATTTCTTGCATTGTTATCAATTTAGTTATCCAAAGCTAAAAGGTCTTATGTATAGGGGGGTAGAATTATGTTTTCAGTGAATAGCAGTAGTTGTAGATGAAAAGCAAGAAGTTGGAGTCGGGAATTGGTGGTGGAGGCAGTGCATGATTATGCAGCTGGAATTGATGGTGGCTTGTTTGTTTTATTTTGGATTAGATTTAAGGAATAATTGTGGATTTTTCTTATAAATTTTGATAGACACGTATTGATCTATATATGCTTTCTGTTAAGAGAACTTCGCAAACCTACATAAATCTTCAGAACTTTTGAAGTTTTGTAATACATTATGTTTTTTCACAAGGAGAGCTTAGTGACTCCATATCTGAGTAGCAAGTTTTCTTAGCATGCTACTGTAAGAGCAACTAGTCTGATACTACTATTTAACCGCATTTTGTTTTGTTATTACATAGATATGTGATCCTGAGTACCTACTTTTTTATGGTCGAGGAGGAGAGGAGAGGAGACTCTCTAGCTAGGAAGTACTCTTTGATTTGCAAAGCTTTGCTTTTCTTCACGCAAAAGTAGTGTTAGGGGGTGCCCACCATATGCCAGGGAGGAGATGGCTCACTGAGCAGTGTAGTGTTTAGCTGGTACAATCATGTGCTCCAGCTTCTCCTTATTGACATGAGGAAAATTGTCTTCTTTTTTCATTATCCTTGGAGAAATTCTGACTCTCAACTATTGAGCGTGCGAGTTTGTATACTAGTGTGTGTATTTTTGGCCTCCTTCTTCTAGTAATTACTCTTTGCCAGATGTGGGGGAAACTATTAGAGAAATTGTTTTGTTCTCACTATAAATGAGTAGTTTTTTAAAGTAAATTTCAATCATTTAGTTTTTGTGATGAGTAGTTCAATTAAGTCTTAGATTTGCAATTAATTGACATTTTACGAAAGATTATTTACTCTGGTTCAATTAAGTACAATTTCTACTAAAATAGTTTTGAATTAAAATTTCTATCAGTAGTAAATTTTCTAAGTTTTTTTTTGTCATATACTTACATTATTTAGTTTTACCAGCAATAAAACTAATTATGCTACTAACAGTACCTAATTCTGTCAATTTTGTTAGCTACTTCATCCGTTACATATTATAAGACTTTCTATCATTACCCACATTCATATATATGTAGATGTAGTTTTGTCAATTTTGTAGGTTTTTCCTTTGTTATTTTGTTTTTGTCTATCATATTTGTCTTTGTCAACTTTTATAATTTTCCTACATATTAATCAAATTAATGCTCTATCTTCATAATAGTAACTAGCGTCGACGTGGCCATGATGCTATCGATGGCGGCGAACGGATTTTTAAGCATTTTGTCATTTTTTTATATATATTTTGTCAGCATCTCACAATTTTAAAATTTTGTCATATTTGTGTTTGTATTTTGTCTTTGTCTTTGTCTTTGTCAGATTTTAAAATTTTCCTACATATTAATCAAGCTGGTGTGCTATCTAAATGATAGCAACTATAAAATCAAATTTTCCTCAAATTTTAATCTAAAGATCTACAGTTTTTTATCCCTGTCATGGCAGCCGTCTGTGTCCTCATTGTAGTCGCCTCCATCCTCCTCAAGGGCCTCCTCCACCACCTCGGCCAGGTACGCCTCAAACTTCCTGCTGCTGTATCTCCTTTCTCGGAACCATTCCCCAATTTGTGCCGCTTTCTTGCTCAAGTTTCTGATTTGTTTTTCTCAGTAGGAGTTCAGAGAAAGAGGAGCATAGGGGCCATGGCCGACAATGCAACCAAAAGGCAAGTGTAACTGTGTATTCAGCTTTAAAATACTTTGAGAAACGACAATTCCAAATTCCAACTAGTAGTACATGTTTTGTGTTTCTTTTGTTAGAAATTTTTTGTCAAGTTCAGCTAAGCTCATTGACTTGGCAAGCTCTTGTTACATAGGATTGAACATGTATGCCACACACTGGTTCAATGTTACCTTCTCCATTTTAGTTCACTGTTATATTTTAATCTTTTTTTACACACTACCAATTCTTTGTGCTGATGTTGTTGATCGATTTTTTCTATTTTTGGCAGGCACGCAGGATTGGTGAGGTGACATTGCGTGCTGTACATGATTTCTTTGTATTTGGGCTTTTTTTTCCCGTGATGGGATGTGGGCTCTGGGCTCTGGTCACGCGAACCAGTGGACTTCCTTTTCTCATGTGGTGTGTTGCGGGCTATGGGCTATGTGAACTTAGTGGGCTTTTTGTTGTATTTTTGTGTACAAATTGTGATGGGCCTTTTGTTTCTTCACAAAAAGAGGTGGGCTATGGCCCAACAAAAAAAACAGAAACAGAGTCACGAGTCACGCTACTTTTTTTTTCACGTGCATCGCTCATCTATGCGCGGATCGCACGGTCAGCCAAAAAAACGGCTGACAAACCCAAAATTTTCAGCTGCTTGTTACATAGACAGTCCCAAAAAAAATTCGGTGAGTTCGCGCCGACAGGCTTCATGCATGAGATTAGCGGAGTCACCAATTACTTTCATTAATTAATTTTCTTTAATTAATATCATTAGTAATTAGTTAATCTCACTATTTAGTACGATTAATTGCGTTATTAGCAGCCAGTGTGGCCATCTCGCTGGGCCACAAGCGAGACCTGAGGCTCAATAGTCCTCTCGCTCAGCCAAATAGCGACACCGAGGCCGGTCGTCTCACATTTTCGCCTTGCTAGTTTCATCACGCTTTCGTCAGTATCGCGCGTTAGTCTTGCTATTTCGTCGTGATTTCGCACTGTCGAACTGCGGTGACGGTTTATTTTTTAAATCCTGAGAAAAAAAAACTTCAACAGTTTAATTTCAAATATTATTCATTTCTAGGGTTGTTTCACTCAACCCACATAGGATCTAGTGCTACACTTGTGAAATTTGAATGAAGTTTGGGGATTTGTGCTTATGAGATCTAGGGTTTGATCTTGAGCATTTGGGGATCAACATCCAATCTTCGTCATTGAGCTGATAATCTTGGAGGTCATCCTCCTAGCCAACTAGGTGTCTCCGGCGAGCATCCAACATTTGTGGCAGTCCAAGAAAGTATGTGAAGACTTTATTATACCTATGTAAAAAAGAGGTAACTTGGATGAAACACTACTACAAAAACCCTCATAGGACCGGTTTATTTAAAACCGACACCTATTAACCTTTTCCCACCTCCCACGGTTTAAAAAATAAAGAACCAACACCTTTAAACAACTATAGGTGTCGGTTTTAAGAAAAAACCGACACCAATACTATTGGTACATGTTTTAAAAAGAATAACCGACACCAATAATATATTACAGGTACCGGTTTTCTTAAAAAACCGACGCCTAATAGTCGAGCCGAGCCGGCAACAAAACGAGCCAATCGGATCAAGCTAGCGGGGCCCATGTGAGGAGATAAGGATCGATCTCGATCCATCCAGCCACCACCTCCCTCTCTCCCTCCCTCTCCAGTCGCCGCCCCCTGCCCCTCTCTCAGCCGCCGCTTCCCTCCCCCAGCCCTCCGCCCCCTCTCCCCACTTCCCTCCCTCTTCGACCCCTCTCCCAGCCAGCCGGCCGGCTACTTCCCTCCCCCTCCGCCCCCCCTCTCCTAGCCGGCCGGCTGGCACTTCCCTCCCCCTCCACCCCTCTCCTAGCCAGGCGGCCATTTCCCTTCGGCGAGCAGTGACGCATGCGACCGGTGACCTCCCCACGGGTGACGGGGAGGCGCAGATCCGACCCCCTCTTCCTCTCCCTCTCCGTTGGTCTCACTGGGGGCAGCCAAATCTGGGGAGGGGGTAGTTGGGTTGGCGGTGGCAACGGTGGCCAAGGGAGGCGGTGGGCAATCTACCCACGGGCGACCTCTTCCTCTCCCTCTCCATCAGGCTCCCACCGGTGCCGTGTAGATCTGGTCGGGGTGGGTTGGCGGCGGTGGCCAAGGGAGGGGACGGCGATAGAGCCGGGTGGCCAAGGGACTATGGCGGCAGTGGAGGAGACGTGTGCGTTAACTACGTACTCCCTCCGTCCCAAAAAAAGGCAAACCCTGAGTTTACGTGTCCAACTTTGACTGTCCGTCTTATATGAATTTTTTTTATAATTCGTATTTTTATTGTTGTTAGATGATAAAACATGATTAATACTTTGTACGTGACTTCTCTTTTTAATTTTTTTCATTATTTTTTCAAATAAGACAGACGGTCAAACATTGGACACGGAAACTAGGGTTTGTCTTTTTTTTGGGACGGAGGGAGTACGTGATTGCAATCCATCCATCCCCTTTCTGCCTTTTCACCTTGTTCTGATTTTGCAAATGATCAACCATTGGTTTTTACTTAAGAACAGCAAAAAAATGTGTGTGTGATGCAGTATGATATGATGGATGAATGTGTGTGAACTATAAATGCAGTATGAACTATGAATGTGTGTGATCTGATGGATTGCATCAATGCAGAAAGTGGTTGCCAAAAAATCTATTTGGATTTTCTTGTTTGATTTGAATTATAAGTTGTAGGGATGAATCAAACCGCTGTTTTATTTGGATTCGGATTTAGGCAACCGGAAACCTTAAACCCTAAACTCTAAACCCTAAACTTAAATATTTTGTGACTCAAATAGCTAAATTAATGGTGTCATGAATGTAATGATTAGGTACAGTTACATTACCATATAAATGCGCTGCAATATATAGTATCCATGTTTCCAAATATATTTCCAAATAATTAGTTTCCATGTTTCCAAATACGAATGATCAGTATTTAGTATTACATACCTAGTTTTTTTTTTAAAAAAAGTCCATTTCTCCATATACTTAGTTTCCATTTTTCACCATTATATTACCATTTATTCAAACCTCACCGTGCAATCACGTAAGTTTCCATACAAGATATTATTTCCAATTTCATGAGCATTTAATGTTTCTATTTTTGAAATGCACACACAATTATGGAAATTCTCTCATCCGCACTGCATGCATGCATATAAATGTATTAATTCATTTTTTTAATCTATTCAAATATATGGAATCCATTCACTATTAAATCCCGCACTCTAAACAGGTCTATACCCATTAAGCTCATACACTCAAATGATCAAACTGACCAGCTACATCCAACGGATCTCAACTTTGGAGCCCATACTCCATGGAGTCCCATTCGGACGTCCTATATATATAGTCGCTAAATAGTCATTTCGGACTGCAAGGTGCCGAGCTATAAGAGCAAGTTCAATAGTATAGCCCACTACTAGCTCCAATTCATCTATAGTCAATCTAATAGCCAATTCATACAATAGTTGCTTACTATACTTTAATATATGGTCCCACCTGTCATATACATATTGCGTCTTGAAGCCCGTGCTGCAGCTGGCTACAAATCTGTAGCCCGCTGCTCTTCTCTCTCATCGTTTATCTCATTAAAATATATTTATAGCTGGCTAATAGCCTGCTATTGTACCTGCTCTAAGATGTGACTGCGAGAGCCAATAGGGAGAAGGGAGAGATGCATGGCGAGCTGCTGATTATTAGGCGCGACAACAGCGGCTTGTTATATGGACACAGCCCACAAGATAGATGATTGCTTAGCTCACTTTCCTATTATTAGCTTATCTTAAAAGTCAACATATATAATATATAATAGATTAGCTATAAGGTTGGCTATAATTTTCTTCTCTTCTTTTTATTTTTCACTTATACATTTAATGTATTTGTCTTGAAGTTTGTGATAATCTAGCTCTTGCATGAGAGTCAACACCTTTGATTTTTCACTATCTCTCTCCTCCACCTAAACTTATAGTAGGCTTATAGCTCACTATTATACTTGCTCTTAGAGCACCCGCAATGGTAAAGTAAGGTGCTATCTATAAAACATGTACATCTCAGCAATAGACTTGATTAATAGTAAACCACCTTAATAGTATGTCTACATTGGTATCTATAGCTCTCTCATGCATTGCCTCGTTTTTCTCTATAGACTATCTCTAAGTTAGTAGATAGCTTTGCTCTCTCTCTTCATTTAATACCTTCCAAGTAGGAAAATATGCTGACATGGATCTCTTGTAGAGAGCCTATAGATAACCATTGTGGGTGCCCTTAGGCTATGTTCAGCAGGACCCCGGCACGGAAAACAAAACACTTATTATTACATGATTAATTAAGTACTAAAATGGATTAATATGATTTTTCTAAAACAACTTCGTATAGAAATTTATTTTGCAAAAAACACACCGTTTAGCAGTTTGAAAATCGTGCGTGCAGAAAACGAGAGATGAGTCGGGAAAACTGGGGGAAGAACACAACCTTAGTTGAGTAGTCATCGCAGCGGCGGAGGGGCGTCGAACGTTGATCGGCATCGTGAAGGGTGAAACCAGATGTCGGGCGTGCAAGGAGGGGTAGTGGGCATTGGGACTCGGGAGTCCAGCAGCAGGCTTCGGGAGTTCAGAGTAGGGTTCACAATTCCGACAAAAACTGGTTGAATTCCACGGAAAACCGAGGTTTCGACGTGGCTCAAAAGAGAAGCCGTTTGGAATTTCGATAGGTTTCATCCAAATTCAAATTAGAATTTATAAAAAAGGAAAAATCAAATAAAATAATATAAATAGTATGATATCTATATAACCTATTTGTATATAAATTTTCAAAAAAATTGGTTTATTCTGTGCATTTCTTGAACTGTATAGTAGGAAAAAAAAGAATAACGTTTTAGAAAAGAAGGAAAAACCTTTCCTGGGCCAAATTCCTCGTGCCGAATTAGCCACGTGACAACGAGGACTCTTCACCTGCAACACCGTTGTTCAGG